CCCCCCCCCGGAAAAACTTTTACGCAGCCGGACATCATAAATATGTCCCAACGTGTAGCTAGGTAGTATGCACGCACTTGCGCTCGCGAGAGAGTTCGTTTAACGATATAGCACTCGCGTGTATGCGATATTATAACGAACGAGAGAGAGCCCAACGAGAGTGCAAGAAAATCGCATAGTAGTGGTAGTAGCGTTTTTCAATGCGGGTGAGTCGAGGCGAGCGAACGCATACGCTTGGCCGGGCGTTTCGCACATACGTGTGTGTAGGTACCGCTCGGAAACCTACTATATAGGTATACTAGTACACAGTCGGTAACTCCCCAATGTGTATGTGTAGCGAACTACCCCGAATATAGACACATACACACATACACACATACACGTTCGCACGGGCGCGAGAGCTGTTATCCCCTCTGGAGTTCTCTTTTCTGGCAGTAACTATATACAATCAGCTGCATGGACGGAGATAGAAAGAGAGAGAGAGAGAGAGAAATAGCACATATATATATATATGTATATAACACGCAGCTCGAAACATTGCAGAAATAGAGAGAAAGAGAGAGAGAGAGAGAGAGGTGGCGACGCGTTGCAAGCAGGCACACAACCACCGCACACACCAGCCTAGGCAATATAAAGGTCAAGAGTTTAAGGGTAGAGAGACAGGTGAATTTTTTTGTGTGTGCTCCCTCCGCCCGAGAGAGGATGGCTCTTTTGAAATGTTATTTTCTTTCTTTTTTTTAGAGCCGATGTAATGACGAGTCGAACGAAATAGACCACTTTTTTTTATTCGCGTCGAGCGGTATAACTGCCAGGCCGAGTCTCTGTTATACACTCGTTTCCAACTCTGCTCTCTGCTCTCTGACAGTGTTTAATTGACGTATCGCTCCGTGAATGCCTATTATTGTTCGCAAGTAATGATGCCAGACAATTTTTTAAAGTTCGACGCGGGATGCAGTACTAGCGAGTTTATATAGCATTTCTCTTTCGCACTCGCGTCGCCTCGTCAATGGAAAAAAAGAGAAACCATTATCGATAATCGAATATCAGTAGGGAAGAGTAGAGAGGCTTTTTGGAGTATATATAAAGAAAACCTCTTCATATTCAGCCAAGTCTTATGCCAGAGATATTGTACCCTTTGCAGTACAGACCTTGAGTTATAATAATGTAGCTCGAGCTGAATTATGCCGTAGAATTTTTTGACACACAGCACTATTGTATGAGACGTTCAACAATTGCGTGCAAATAAATAAACACTCTAAGTTGTCGCAGGCGGTTAAATCTTTGAATCGATTTATTTTTACCTCGTTTTTGTCTCTAATGAGATTGTATGCGCTTAGAATGATGTTTAGCGCATTCTTAACTACTAAAGTCCTACTCTCTCTCTCTCTCTCTCTCAACTTTGCGGCAAATAAAACTGCTATTGGATTTGTTCTTTCTACCCGAGATTATATGAACTCATCGCGTTGGGTTTTCTCCGAGAGATAAATTTTATCCTCAAGGTCAACGCTGCATCTAATAATGCGTTTTTTTATTATCAAGTAATATCTCATCCTATGTATGTATTCGTGTAACGTCAGGGTTTGAATTACGCGCAACATGAAAAGTCTTTTTTTATTTTTTTTTCACATTTTTTTGCTGAGTTTCTACTATTGACTCGACTTTTAATAATAAAAAAATCCTCCCGTTTCAAAGCAGTCGTTGCTTTCTCTTTTTTTTTTAACTCTTATCGAAGTCGATACCAATTTGCAAAGCTCCCGAAGATTAGGACCTTTAAAATGCTTTTGTCTCGATGTATATCGAGCACCGTACTATTTTTAAATTAAGATTTAAGACTATCAATACAAATTTTGATGTTTACAAACAAAGATGACTAATCTCTCATTTTTTTTTTTTTGCAGATCTTGCATCGGCCAAATTGATGTTTTGTCCGCTAAAATTCATCGGCGTCGTCGCAACTCCAGCTGGACCAGCAATTCGAAATACAAAAGACTTCAGGCGTGTGATGAGAATAGGGGGTTGCATCGCGGCTCTTCCTCAGTGCTCGTTTCGTGTAGTTCTGAATGTCTTCTCTCGTAAACAAAACCTGCTTGGTGAGGTTCATTGAGGTTTGATTAGCGATCATTGTTGTCATTGTAGTTTTTGTTATTTTAGCTTTTTTTTTTGTTGCTAATCGCTCATTCCTCACTGATCATTGGCGATAAAATCACATGAAAAATAGGAGAAATACTCCACAAACCTCTCGTATAATAATCAGTGATTAAAAAGCGAGCCGGAGCACCCCTAAGGTTTCGAAGCAACCTCTTTTTTTTTGTACAGCTTGTTTGTCGCCTCTTACCGGAGCGGGACAGTGCTTTTTTAAACAGTAGTTTGTTGAGGAAAAAAAAACAAAATGTCTCCTCGATATCGTGTCGGAAACAATCAATATTATGTCAAAATGTTACCACAGGCGTCCAATAGGAACGATAGTCAGAGACTCTACCAGGAAAACACAGACGATATTTATCGACAGTGGAGCAACTTTCTTTGTACTTACCAAAATCACAAGAATGTTCCTCAACTTTTAGAACGCATTTGTTCGTAAGTATCTTTTTTCCACCAATTATTGAATCTGATCTCCACTAATTATGAAGCGTTTACTTAACTCTTTTCTCTGTTTATCTTTGTTCGCAGAAAAACAGCAGAAGTGGTCTTGAACGAAAAATGGGAATCTCTCCCGAACGCGCACAGGACTCATCTTATATATGTACTGCAGAACAGCGTGAAATCGTTGAAACTACACAGTCAGAACGAATTAGCCGAAAAATGCAATCGTTGCCGCGAACTGATCGAGAAACCCTGGTTAATTCCAGTTTTGCTCAGCTTTGTGCGTAAGCTACCGGTCGAAGCCAACGAACAAGATGAATTTTTCCGCCAACAAGGAGTCGATGTCATCACAATGCGTCTGAAGGTCTTGGTCCAGTACGAGAAGGGCAAGGAGCTCGCGGCCACTCTGGCTGCGGCCTGTCTGCAGTCGCTGAAACGCAACAAGGCGCTGAGCGTCGAGTTCGCCAACGTGCCCGAGCACGTCCAGTACATCTTGGACGTGTACATCGTGCTGCTGTACTCGTTGCGTCGCACCAAGGATCTGTGCGCCCAGGTCCTGCTCATCGAGGCCAAGGACGCCCTGACGCTGATGCAAAGACTGAGCGGACAGAAGCCCGTTAAGTATGGCACCGCGAAAATCTGGAAGGAGTCGTTAAAGGCCGCCTCTGTCGTCGGCTACTTTTTTGTGGCCGACTGTATGATCACGCCGCTCGACAAATGCGACGTCAAGGCGCTGGAAGATATATTCGATCTGTTCATTAGCATAATGCTCAGGATCGAAGAAAACCTGGAGATACCTAAATTACCGAGAATCGTGTACAAATTGCAGAATCTCGCGGAGAGCGCACAGCACCTGTATATGTTAACCAGCGCTCTAGTGGCAAACGTAAGTACACTTTATTCCGTCACCTTTTATATGAAAAAAAAAAAAAAAAAAAAAAAAAGATCACAAGTTCTCACACGAATTGTCCTTGTTTTTTAGGTCTGCGATAAATTCAAGTACCTCATTGTGAGCACTGTCGTTAAAGGATTATTAGCGGACTTCAATCAAATTGAACATGAAAAAGAAAACGGAGATGATGAAAAAATATTAGAGGTAAAAAAGCGGCTCTCCATGGAATACAGAAAGTTGGCGAAATACTTTAAGACGTATAATGTTGGAATGGCGAAAGAGACCGCGCTCACGGCTTTTTCCGTGCATCCGACGCGAGAGTGCTTGGAAATATTGAAAAGATATGCCTTGATGGCGACCAACAGTTCAGAATCGTCCGAGCCTCTGCCAGGCACCTCCAGTGAGAACGCCAGCTCGACGATTGGCGATGTCTCGTTGCAATTCGTTCAAAACGTCAACAACATATTTAAATACGAAGTAGATGCAAATCAATTCGAACTTAATCATCACTGCGCTCATGCTTTGAGGGTAATATTGAGCCAGCGGCGCTACAAGGATCTTAAATGGACTCTTGCGTGGAAAGAATTATACATTAAATGCGAAGAGTAAGTATACAGAAAAAATACATTATAAATGAGTGAAAAATAAACGTGTATAATGTCTAACTAATATTTTTAATAAATTTGCAGGTACCTTAAAGAAGCAGAATCTATGAATAACACAAACCGTGAATTAATATTCGCGCACTTTGATTCCATTCCATTTGAAGAAATAAATGAAATACGGAGTATGCACAATGCTCAACCCAGTGAACAACCCAATCCTCAAAGAAGAAGTACACAAAGGAAAGCTTCTCGCAAGAAAGTTGCATTTAAAGAAAGTTCAAAACGAAAACTGGAAGTAGTAGATTATGGCATTGAAAAAGGTTTTGAACACTTCTTTTATGAAGAAAGTGAAGCCGAAGATGAATTAATAATTCGAATTCCGCTCAATGAAATGACCGAAAAAAAGGCATGCTACTGCGTTCTTGGGCCAGACCAATCGTCACATACATGCATACTTAAAAAAAAAGAAGTGATTTTTGAATCGGTACCAGAACCAGAATTTGAAGAGGGAGTAGTAATCAAATCCGAAAATATGCCACATTTGGTGCTAATTGAAGAATCATCTGATCCGGATTCGGATAATTTTATTAAACTTTCGCCAGAACTTCAACAGTTGGAAGCAACCGAGAGCCCAGAGGACGCGCTATTTTCATTTCTGGGACAATCGAGTCAACCAGAGCAGGATCCACTAGGCAATGTTGATATGCATCTTCAAGAGACGCAACCGATACCAACGATATCCACCATACTAGTCCAGGAGAAACCTCATTTACGAGAGGTTGATCCAAAATTGTTTCAAGCTGAACCGGAATCTTATGAGGTAGAATCAGATGAACGAAAACAGAGTCCGCTATCGATACAAATCACGGGAGAACCAATCAAGCCAACATTGCCTCAGGTGTTCGTTAAACTGGAACCTGTTGAGATTTCACCTCCAGATTCAAAAAAGAGAAAAAGAGTAGTCAACCCAACTAAAACAATTAAACGCGTAAAAACGGAAAAGAATTCAGATACAAAAAACCAGAGAGCGCAATCAATTCGGAGATCTAAGCCAGTATCTACTTCCAGCAACGACAGTCATACTAGTAGCCTAGGTAGCGATGGTCTGAAACACAATTCGCCAAAAGAATTGGTTCAAAAGCGAACAAAGCGTATAAGAAAGGAAAAAGTTTCGGAATTGGAAATGCGGGTGGAATCAACGTTAAAAACAGACCGAATGAAAGAATCTACGTTGACACCTAGTGACAGCAATGAAAACCACTACGAAAAAAATTTACCTTACTCAGAGAATGCCGATGCAAACCTTAATGTTCCGGAAGGTACTAAATCGCTCAGATCGGTGAGAAGGAAAAGGGATATAACAATAGGCAGAGATATTGAATCAATAATCAACAAGTTTAAAAAGAATAGAAAAATATACAGCGCAATCAACTTCTTACCACAAGTAAAATTAGTAAGATTAAGCAAAGATGATAGATTACAAAAAAAGTGGAAAGACCAGGAAAATTCTGACTCATATCGTTCGCCTCTAAAACCTTTGAATGAGGTATAACTTGTTACAATTTCTAAAACTAAATGTCACATTTGTAATCCAAAATCTAGAAAAAAAAAAAATATTTCTCCATTGGTTCACAACCCCTCCCCCGTCATGTAAGTGGTTTTCCTATTCATCACAACATGGTGAGTAAGGAATTCGGCCACCCCCCTCCCCCCAAAAACTCTTACAGAATTAATGGAAGTCCCCTGATACTATTTTTTCCTACAAGAGCCTAAAATTAGCAGCATCGTTGTGTATTTTAGGTTGGAGTGGGAAAAAATCATTCTGAATTTACTGATAGTTTTGAAAATTACTACAATTAATACTAGTTAATTTACTAGTTAATTATATTAATTGTAATTATATTATAATTTATGTAACATTAATATGTAACTTTTAGAATAATTATCCACAAGACTGCGTTCATAGTCTTTTAAATCATCGAGTACCTGGCATGCAATCGATGGAATTTTCTTTGGTTCCGAGAGCTAATCCAACTGTTCAGGTTGTTCAACTTACTCGTGGCATAAACCAGGGATCAAATTCTACAATAACTTCGAACAGTTTATCATCTCAAGTTAATCGTTCAAATAATCAACTTCCAGGTAACTTGATTTGAATTGTATAGATTATTAGCCTGTAAGTATACCTTACATACCTAATAATTACTATACGTAAGTATTACTATACCTTAGTATAGTATACTATGTATAAAGTTTATAGACTTTATATTATATTCAAAATACTAAATATGTACAGCTACATCTATTTTGAAATTTTTATTTACAAAAATATTTTTTTATGGCACATATTTCGAAAATTGAAAAAAAAATTAAAAAATTAAATAATTAAAAAATTAAAAATAAAAAACTGTATATAATAATTAACTGCTTTAATATGTTTCCTTTTTTCCACCCACTCTTTTTCAATTGTCTATTGAAAAAAAATTGTGCGATAAAATTCCAAAAAAGCGTACAATTTCATAATAGGATAATAGTTATAATATTAGTTGTAATTTTAAATATATATTTATTACAATTGTTCTAAAGCACAAACGCCTCCACCACCCACGAGAGTTATTTCAATGCAAGACATTGGCGACGAAGCAAATCATCCGTCTGACATCTCACAACCCCTTGGTAATTAAACCAAATTCCTTTTTTACCCAACAGAAATTCGGCTGAGATAACACGGAATAGTACATTACTGTCCTAGGCCGGGAAAAACAGAAAAGTCCCAGGGCACGTGAAATGAGCCACCGAGGCGAAGCCGAGGTCGATTAGCACGTGCACTGGGGCTTTTTTTCCCGGTATAGGACGGTATGCTTTTTTACATACCCCGTGGCCCGAAAATAGCAATATTCCGTTTAGCGCAGCGGCAGGAAAATGCTACTTTCAGGCTGCTGGTGTGTGAAAGCCTTTTCCAGCATACGCCATATATATTTTCACTAAATATTTATCGAAACAGGTAACTCCAGAACAGCGTCGATCGATACATCAGACGGTACTCAAACGATGCAACTCGGTCTGTTGTCGAATCAACGTATCAGTGCCGTTCATCAGGTGATTAAAGATGCGACGCATAACGAAGCTCAGCAACAGCAACAGTTGCAGCCTCAGCAGCAACTGCAGCAGCAGCAGTTGCAGCAGTTGCAGCCTGAACATCAGCAGCAGCAGCAGCAGCAACAACTGCCGCAGCCACAACGTCAACAATTTGTCCTACAAAAACCTGATGGAACATACCAGCTGGTGAATAATCGGCAGCACTGCAATCCCGACCCTTACCTATACAACTACACTTATCCAGATGTAAACTATCCAGATGTAAACTATCGAGATGTAAACTATTTTTAATTTTTTTTTTCATCTTAAACTTCATCTAATGAATCGAGCCGTCTCATTATTATTTCTTTTTTGTTATTTGTGTCAACAACACGAAACAATACAAGAAAATACATAACTCATGCTCATCTCACATCACCATACAAAATCAAAGTGTATTTCTAGATATAAAAAAAGCTTTGTTTCAATTTTTAGGTAAGTTCAAATCTGGTAGCGGGACAGAGAGGCATTTTTTCACTTCAAAATGATGGAAATATTGGTTACGCTCGACAACTGTCGTTGAATCCGCAGCAAGCTTCAGCGTCAGGCGTAAAGAACACTGGTTTACCGAAGTTTCAACAAGCTTTTGGAAAAACTATTTGTGCTCTTTCGAACGACATGACTTCTGCGCCATCGGTATCGACGGCACCGACCACAAGTAATGTTTTGCAAACACAGCAAGTGCAACAGCGTATTATAAAAAAGATCAACGCGACGAAAGCTCCTACTGGAACGAATATTCAAGTACCATCTGGTACGCGTCAAATATTGAATATCGTGCCAAATGCGTCGGGCTCCAATGCTGTCGCCGGCTCCGGTACCAACGCCGGACAAACTTTGCAATTATGCAGTACATCGTCGTCTAGCGTTATATATACGCACAAACTTCCTGTTTCGTTGAGCAGTGGTGGACAGCCACAATTTATCTCTCTGCCGGCTTCGTTGGGTAACAATAAGACTCCGGTGCAGTTTAAATTCAATATATTGCGAACTCCGTTCCGTTCGAATACTTCAGCTGCTCCGAATGCAAATATAGCTGTTTTGACTTCGCGCCCTATGCAACAAGTCAATTCTACTGGCGCTGCTATCCAACAGCAACAAGATCAACAACAACAACAAAAACAACAACAACAACAGCAACAACAACAACAACAACAACAACAGCAGCAACAACAACAACAACAACAACAACAACAACAACAACAACAACAGCAGCAGCAACAGCAGCAACCGCAAGCATCACAGCAGCAAAAACTTGTCCAGCAGCAACTGCCGCCCATCAGGCAACAGGTGCATGTTCAGGCTCAGCAAAGTTCACCAATTCCTATTGATATGGGCAGTCAAGTATGTTCATCTACTTTGGAACAACTTCGAGAGTTCGAAAGTGTATTGGAACAAGTTAAAGGGGGCAAAGTCGTTCCATTAACTTCATCTGAAGTTAATACTGTACAAACGCGGAATGTTCCTTCTGACACTGCCACGGCTAAACCTATTGGTCAACCTCAGCAACAACAGCAGCACGTGGCTCCCATCACCCAACAGCTTTTGATGTCACCAAATCCCAACACTAGCTTAAATTTCAATTCAAACAATACGAGTACGATTGCACTTCAAACATCAGAGCAACAGTCTCCACAACAACAACAACAACAACCACAACAACGGCAACAGCAGCAACAGCAACAGCAGCAACAAGCGTTACAACAAAAGACTCAGCAACGACCTCTCGTACAAACACAGCAGCAACAAGTGTTTCCACAAAAAGTGTTAATGTATACTAGTCAAACGAGTAGTACAATAGCACCTGCGACAGTAACAACAAAAGTTACTAGTTCAACTTCACCTGTAGTCGTTGTATCGTCGTATTGTCAACCAGCTGCGTCGCCGGCACTCAGTGTAACGTCGCAAAGCTCATCCAGTCCTTGTGTAACGCCTGCGCCTACACCCACACCGTCGGCGGGAAAGACTCAGCCGCAAGTTGGCTCCAAGAGCAAAAAGTCAGCACCCAAAACGGTCAAGGTCAATCCTCAAAATGCTGCTAAAGCTTCGCCTCTGCCGAAACCACAACAAAAGCCGCAAGAAGATCCCGAGACTACGCAAAGAATATATGCAATTTTAGGCGAGTACGCTGAACAGTTGCGAAACTCTCCGGACTTGAATAATAAACCTGCGCCGAGAAGGAGACAGAATCCACCGACGAATCCCAATCAATCGAGTAAACGCAAAAAATCGGGTGGAAGTGGTTCTAAAAAAGGAGGTTCTGGCTCTGGCCAGCAAACTTCAGAACCCAGCCCAAGTGCCGACGACACCGGCAGGACCATGGGTAGTGAGGATTCGAGCGGTGGCGGTGGCGGAGGTTGCGGCAGTCTTAGCGGTGGAACCGGCAGCGGCATGAATATCCAAGACAGTCCAGCCGGCTTCTCCGGTTCGGAGGACACTTTGGCGGGTAGCAACAATAACAGTCAGAGTGCCGTCAACGACAATGCAACGACCGGAAGTATTTCGGAATCCAGGGCTGGCAATATGACGAGTGATTCCAACGACAGCGTGGAAGTGAGCGCAAAGCGAAGAAACGTCATATTCACCGAACCCAGTACAGGTTTGTATCTTTTATCGTTTTAATTTTTTTTAGACTTACAAATAGTAGTTTCTGCGAGGCGAAAAAAACAAAAAAAAACATAATAACATTCTCAGGTCAAACGCGAGCAGTAATCGTTCAGGAGGGTGGTAGCATACAGTCTGCTTCAAGCGTAAGCGAGGCTTTAGCGAGCGTCACCAGTAAAATGACGACAGGCACGGCAGTACTGGTATCAGGTACGAATCTCATGTTACCCATGAACTTTGTTAAAAGCGGTCAACAGATAACCGTAGTCTCGGGTGGTTCAAAACTTTTGGCTGCTGTGCCGGCCGTGCGCTCGGGCACGGCCGGCGCGTCTGGGGTACCAAACGCCTTTGTTCTTCAGTCTCTTTTGAGCCAGGCAAACAAAGTAATACAGCAGCAGAAATTGAAACCACAACAGGTGGTAGTGGCTACGTCGGCAACTGCAACGGCACAGCAGAGTGATTCCAAAGACCAGCTCGATCTGAAGCCACAAACCAGCTTGTTTCAACACTCAGGTGTTATAACGAGCAATCCTCAGAGCATATTCAGCTCGGTAATGAAAGAGCAAAAGGTCGTTTGTGTGGCTGCTGCACCCAAAGCCGAAACTCCCGACGGAACAAAGACCATATTAACCTTCGCCACGAAGGATCACAATCAAAAAGAGATATTCAAACTCGAGGACGATAAGTCGATTATTATTAAAAAAGAACCCGATGACGAGGCGGATGAAGATGTGGAACAGAGCGCCCCGTGCGAGACTAACGCGATTAAAGCCGGTAAGGGCGGCGATATAACAGCGCCTCACCGGCTCGTTATGCGAATTGATGTTGCTTTGATGTTGTGATAATTAATTACGAATGCACAATTTTATTTATTTAGCGTATGAAAAATTCTTCCTCGCTGAACATATATTTAGAAGAACAACGTTACGATCTATCAATAGTAATTGCTTCCACATCCCATTAATTGCGTTGGTAGTTCCTTTGCTTTATTCAGCTTTAGGCAAAACCATTTAATTTCAAAATAGATTATTAGATTATATATTTTTTAAAAATATTATTTATCAATAGAGAGTTTATTTTTAGATATTAGATTGGTAATCTTGGAGTTATGTTTACTTAATATAATCACCACAATTCATAACACTATTGGTATAGGTATTTAATTTAAAGTTGAAACTAAATTTTTTAGATAAATTTAGTAAATTTGATTTGCATGTAAGCAAGAAAAAGTTGTGATGAAATTTTAAAATGTAATGTGTTGTAATTTTAAAGATAATAGTTTTATTAATTTAAGTTTTATTATATATTAATGCCAGAATTAATGTTAAAAAGTTTAATTAGATATAATTGATTAAAAATTACTTTGCACAGATAATCTACGTGAAATATTCTTTTACATTTCTCTAATTTTTTGTTTTTTCATTTTTCAGAAGTATCACAGCCATTGAACAAAAAAATAAAGCAGTCCACGTCACCGGTTCCAGCGCTAACACCAACGACATTGACGCAAGCCAGCAGTACCCCTTTCTTGATTTCCGGCGGTCCAAACAGTTCGGATAGTCAAGATTCGACGATGCACACACCGTCAATGGAGAACAGTGCGAGCAGCCTCGACGGCGTGAAAATTGAAAACGGCGTTTTGTGCAACAACGCCAGACTGCAGGAGGCCTGGGAACCCGAGCAAAAAGGTTCACCCGACACACCTTGGAGATACATTCCCAATTCAAACACACTAGGTATGGATCAAATGAAGACTTATGTTCGTGATTCGACCGACAACAGTTCCGATAGTCCACTCGTCAGCAATAGCGTTTTAAACATTATTAACAAGGGCCAAGGCATTGAAATGTCTAGCTCGGGTGTATTCCAGACGAAGAAGTATTACACGATAAATAATTCGGCTTCGGAGCAAAGCTTTGGTAAATTCCAGAGCAGCAAAGCTGCTTCGAAGATAACCGGGGGCCAACAACATCCGACCACTCAGCAGATTTCTAACCAAGAGAAGATAAACGAAGTCAAGCAGCAATCTCTAGAACATGAATTGAGATTGCAAAAGAGTTTGAGCGAAGAGTGCGAAGATTTGGGTGTTGGTGCACCCAGTACCAGTGACTTGTTTCCAGATGCCGATTTATTTGATTTGAATAATTCTCCCAGTTTCGATACTTCCTCTCAAGAAGCTGGCAATACGTCTGCTAGCTGTACCGTCGCTAGTAACAGTAGTAGTCCAAATTCTTTTTCTAAAACGATTGATTCCGTCGCGACTGGACTCATTGGATCAACGACGTCGTTCGTATTACCCGCGAAAAAGAAACCAACGAAGCGTCCAGCTAAGCCAAAGGATGGAGGAACTCCTCGTCGAAGCAAGTGTTCTCAAGAGAACAAAAACTCAAAAGCAACAACGGACAAGCAATTACAGGCAGCCCTGACGGATAATTCAAGTCAAGACGAAGCATCGAACAGCAACTCCGACTTCTCGGTACTTACCTCGGTTGAAATATTCGATTCAAAGTCAATAGTGCACGAAGAGTCGGGCAACGAAATCAGAGAGGACGACATAAAAATCGAGGACGCACCCGTCATCAGCATACCTGATTCCGAGATAGGTTCGATCGATCTGAATAATATCACAATCGATGACGAAAGTCTATCTTTATTGGAGAGTAGCATAACTGGCGTATCGATGGCATCACCTTTATCACCTGCCATGGGGTCGTTAATGATGAATAGCGTATCTACTTACTCAAAAAACAAAAAGCGTTCGAGTGCGTCCAATCAATCCACTAGACCCTCAGACTATTTTAAGTGAGTAAACGCTTGTAAATTTTTTACTTATCACAATTTAGAATTATCATGAAATTATAATTTTTTCAATTCTTTCATTACAGTGTCGAGAGTAGTTGGGAAAGTCCTGCGTCAGAACACACTAGGTCGAGCATCGAAGATGAAATTGATAATCAATCGGTCGCAAACTTAACGAACGATGCTGAAACAAATGATGAATCAAGTGTGAGTCAAGTTCTCAGTGAGTCTGCGAATAGTGCAAACCAAAAGACTCCAGCTTCTGCTGCTAACGGACTTCAAGAGGCTCTAAGACATAATCTCCCAACTATCAGAGTTACTCCAGTTGATCACGCCACTTACGCCGCAAAAAGAAAACAAGCCGTAGCTCGGAAAAGTAACACGAATAAAACAGGTACACCAAAAGCAAGCTCACCTAAAAAGGGCGTCAAAAAAGTGTCCACGCCAACTCACTTGCTCACGCCAATCTCAACGATAACGGCTAGTGAAAACGAAGCGACTCCGAGTCCAGCACCGAGTTCTGTCGATGATCCAAAACTTGAAACATCAGATGAAGATAACACTAGCAGTGCGAGCACAGAACATTGTTCTACTGGAGGCGGCACAAGAAGATCATCCCAGCGCGGCAATGTCAAGAGAAATTGTCCGTGCTGTAATGGTTCTCCTGAACGTCCAAAAGTCATGAAAAAAATGAAGGTGTCTCACAACAATTCCACAAGTCAAGATCAACACCAGCCTGCGAGTAGTGGTAGCAGTTCCAGCAAAACTGCAACCAAGAAACCTCAAGCTGCATCGTCACAAAATCAGCAGACACAACAGCCGCAGCAACAAGCTTCGAACAAGCCACAACCGGTTAATAAACAGATAAAGAAAAGGTAGTCTTAGCTACCTCGCGGCTTCGATGCTGAAAACTTTATCTTATTAACACGATGTTGTTGAAATTTTACCATTTTTGGCGAGAAAATGTTCCAAACGTACATTATATCGGGATGTTATGATGTTAGAAAAATGCTAGTGAAGAATATAAATATAAATATGTATGTAAGTTAAATTAGAAACTAGCTCATCACATAGGATAAGACTGTAAAAATTATCTTATTCGATTTCCATTTTGTGTTCATATTTATTTTGATTGGATCCATGCATCGGACAGTACTCAGGTGGTGGATGTAGTGGTATTGAAATAAGTCTGTAAAATAACAATTCAAAGCTAGTAAAGAAAAATTGTTTACGTATAGAAGAGTTTCGTGCGCAGTGACTAATTAAAGGAAAAGTTAGTTTCCAAGTGAACTGAGATGAAGAGAAAAAAGTACATATTGTTCAAAACATCGAAATATAAAAATATCATCCGAAGACTTCCTTCTCGCGCGTGGAACATCTCTAGTTGTACATAACATTCCCGCGGTGAATTACAAATGAGATGAGACTAGTAAAATATTTGAGATTGATAGGTAAAAATGAATAGATTCGATTCTTAGAACTTATGTACGCAGATAATATTAGACAAACATAAAAGAGTTTACGTATAAGTGAGATGATATAAAATAAAATATGCGTATACTACGATTAAATACTAGTTGTTTAACGATAATAGACAAGTATATAAGATAATATTATAAATAGTATAAATACACGATTGAATTACTTGAAACCTTAACTCATGAGCAGTTAAAAAATTTTAAACGCGAATGTATGCAGAGAAATTAGCAGTCTATCATGTGCTGTTTTAAAAGTGTTATTTTTACCGATTAATTTGACATTTTTTTCACTGTTTCTTTTGATGTATCTATATAGTTGGTCTTTTCAAAATTGATGCTAAAAATCTATAGGTAAACTTTATTGTTTCATATTCATCGAATGTAAATGAAAGTGAAACGAAAAGTATATGAAGTCATCAATTTGTAAGAATAAAATAACTATAATATGATTACATAGTTATGTATTGATGTTTATTAAGATAAACACTTGGATAGTGAGAAGACTACTAACGATTAAACGTTCGTAAATTAAGCGTTTGTAAATTAGAACAAAATGCAATGGAAAAAATCAGAAGCATTTTTAAAACTTATTAGCAAAAAAAGTTAAGGTCCTACATGCGTACGTTATATCAAACGCTTATTGTGTACAAGAAAGTAAAACTCTGAGTATGCAAAGACTAGTTTCTTATATATTCATATTTATGCATGAATATATACGCATAAATGTATATATTGATACATACATACGTATATTACTATATAATTTGGAATCTATATAATAATATACACATACATTATTATATAAATTTGAAAAAGAAGCAAGAGTTGTGAGCAGATGATAACTTCGAAAACAAATGCAATCTAGTCAAATAATGTGAGAGAATTTATGAATCTGCGCTTGTATGTACAATATTTTACTTGTGCTTCTACATATATATATTTATATATATATATTATATATTATATATAAAATTATATTCCCTCGAGTAAATGCAAACAATTTATGGACAAAGAGACTAGTGACTAATTTGAAAAAAAAATGTAGTTATTTAAAAAATTTTTCCTTAAAAGCTGATGGAGTTAAAGTCATGAATATTTCTTAACCGTGTGAAAAGAAAAAAGTAGACAGCAGTAATGAGAAATTCTAATTACATTTGAGCAAACAGTAATTATTAGGAAACATATTCAACTTAATTACTTATTATGGGAGCTGTAGGCAATTGTACCATCTTTTAAACGTTTATTTTGAAGCATATTCAAAAAAATATATGGTCTCTCAAGTAAATTGTTTAAACAGATACTGATTCAGTTTGTGTTATCACATTAAGCAAGGGGTTTTTCACATTTTTCCATTATTTAGTGGATTAGTGTATTCAAAGTCATTATGTTATAAAAAAGCAAAGAGAATATGAGAGTGAGATATAAGCTACTAGATCAATTCCATAATGTTATAATAACTTTCTTTTTAATTAAGATATATTTATAATACTATTTTTTCAGTCTGAGATTATGATGGGTTTAAATGCTCTTTGGAAGTTTAAATGGAAGTGCAGAGTTGAATGTATAATTTTTTTTGTTTTTTTGTACCTTTTTATTATGAAAACTTGTGTAAATAGAAACTCGTTCGGAGAAACAGAGTTATAAATTGAAAATTCTATATAAGGGAGATATGATGATGTTTTTCAGTGTTTCAGCGACTTAAACTAAGTTTTTTCTTTGTAAAATGCAATATTTGTAAAACACTGTATGTGAAAAAGTGATCATCAACTGTGTACAAAATAAATTAAATTTATAGAGAGTTTGCATATTATTTGAATGAATTAATAAATTATTATTAACGATACCTTTCTGATTATTTAACGACGGAGAGAGAAGGGCAGCACAAAATAAAAATGATCATTTGACGTGCATACAATTTCAGAATATCTTTCAGATTCTACGAATTAATTTAACAAAACACATATTGCGTGATAACCATCGATGCCCGTATAAAAACAATTTAAAGCGGCTCCTAATATGAAAAAATCTCTTGTAAATTGTCGATGTGTGATTGCGAAAATATCGCGACATTTTGACATAATTCAAGGCAAGAAAAAAAAATAGAGTAATATGCGTATTTTTTGAAAAGATGAACGACTTAAACACAAACAAATTCTAAGATTAAGAAAAATTCATTTCGTTCGGCCTTTTGCCGTTGATACTCATTAATATATTAGTCGTACCGATCGCATTTAGAAAAAAAACCACTTATTAAGAAAACTGAACTGATGTGCATAATTCAGCAGTGTAAATCACGTATAAATCATTGTTGTTGTTGACGAAGTGCGATTGCATACATTTTTCATTTTTTGATCGTGAACTTTATTGTTAATCATGGTTCTATAATACGAAAATAACTGATAAAAGTAGTTTTTCAGCGTTATTTCCAAATGTACTTAAAAAGCTTCGAAATTCGTTGTATAACTACAGAACAAGATTTCGTAAGACAACATTTTTTAACGTGCTGTTTGTTAATTGAAAATATTTGCGTCTCTTGTATTAAAAAATGATATCAGTAAAAATCATATTTATAAAATAAAAAAGCTACAATGTAACTACCAGTATTCAAAAGCGCTATACGTTGTACCGTAGATACGAAAAATTCAAAATATATATATTCAAATGAAAGAAAAACCAGTGATGACGATTAACGAGTTTGTTCTGCGAGCGCTATGTTATTAATAATGTATTCGTCGTTTAGCACAAAAAAAAATGAATGAGTTTTGACTTACGAGTAAGCGATAGTTTATCGTAAATGTTTTAATTTGAAGGACTGCATATTGTGTAAATAAACAAGACATATTTTCTATATGAAAAAATTAAATCGCTCTGTGAAACAAGACAAGGTAAATTGAAGATTGATTGTATCGATGCGGATCGATGAATTAATGCAATATTATATGATAATTCTTTCAAGCGAATAGATTATAGTGTTTAATCGTTTCATGTAATGTAATACTAGATGACTGAAAATTAAGGAGAAAGGTACTGACAGAATAAAATGGAAAATTCTGTATTTACATAAAGCATTTATTATTTTTCCTAGTCTAAATTACTCATCTAAATCACTTGTTTCTGGCTCCATCCGCATTTTTGTAACTTCCTGCAAAAGCAATTAATATCCATTACTAGAAACTAAGAGCTGTTATAATCATAAATTTCTTTAACTTACCTCAACAATAGCTTCCATCACTGTAACATTTTTATTTTTGGAAAAAAAATCATCTATATCTTTTGGTATACAATAATGATTGCTATTTTTTGGTTGGATTCCCATATGCTCAGCAATGAATCTAAACTCTGGTAAGTTTTCAGTCAAACTTCGTAGTTCTTCTTCTGTAAAGAGCATATTTTTGGTGTACGATTCATTTAAAGGTCCAAAATCCATTATTTTCACACGATCTTTTTTATATCGTATCACATCAAAGGAATCTACAAAACAAAGCAATTTTATTGATTAGTAAACATAGTATTATTTTATTCTATTTTAAATGAATCATACTGACAAGTATTCAATTCAAATTTATCCATAATTTTTTCTTCGAATAAACTTTTGATATCTTGTGTTATGTCGTACTTTTCTTTTTCAATGTATTCATGATATTGCGAAGTATCTCTTTGACAAATTCCTGTAATAACCATAGCAAACAATATTTTAGATTGTCTCATTAATTGATCATTCATAGTGCTGAAAACTCACCAACAAGCTTTTTATTAACAACATAACAACGAAATTCTGTTGCTGGATCTATATCTTTCCACTTTTTGATTATTAAGCATGGTTTCAGAGAACTGTATTTATTATTCTTATTTTTGATCAAGTCTAGATTTTTCAGTATATTATTTGAATTTTTTAACAGTAGGTAGACATCCTCCAAATTGGAACACTTTAAGGTTTTGTTATATGAAACCCATATTGCATCCTATAATACTCAAAAAAATTTGAGACATTGAATCATTCAATACACAATGGTAAAAAAGTATAAGTAATGAAGCTGTAGTTACCGATGGTGTATTCCAATTTAATTTGATAACAATACTTTTATAATCATCAAGAATTCCTTGGATCTGCTTGCTCAATTCTAAAAACGAGGGCTGCTCTTCATCTTCCTGAATTGAACATAAAATTAGTGATTTACATGAACTATTCAGTTTTTAATTTTTAATCTATAATAAATGTAACTTACGTCTTCACTCTGAGCCTGACCCACTGTACCATCTGACCATTCAAACTGAAAATCGTCCTCATCTTTTAAAGCTTCTTTTGGAATGAAGCACCCATCGCTCTCCAAATAGGCACAAAACTCCTCGCTTAAATTTATTATCTCCGACGTCAGCGAGTTCTTATGAAATTTTGGATACCACTGGCAGTACGAGGTGTGAAAGGCAACTTGGTCGACCTCCTGCATTTTTGTTTTTTTTTTGTTGATACAATCTAGGTGCCCTATTCTTACGATGAATGATCAGTGTTGTTGTCGGTTTTACGTCAGTTTCTCAATCCGTCTCGTTCAGCGTGGTAATTTCTTCTGCTCCGAAGTTCACTCCACGCGTCTCTCGTGACTGCACACACTCACACAACGCACATCGGAGAACTCGAAATTCTCCCTTCTTCCTCGAGGCACTGCCGCGATATGTTTTGCCTGCGTTACCGTAAGAAACTCCATGCACAGCGCACAGTGCCGCCGCAGCGGCGCGTTTTACAGGCAGCGCCTAAAAGTGAGCGGCGTGTCGGTACGCTCGCAGTTTTCTTCTCGCGTCAGGCGCGCTCGCACATAATACAAACTCGAGAGCGCAGTGGTGCACAGAAATTCTTGACTGTATGTATAATACAGAACATATATAGTAAGATATATAATATATATATATAGGATCAGCGCGCGTCGCCTATTATCGGGCTTTGCTGGAGATCAGAATTAAAAAAAAAAAAAAAAAAGTAAGCAAAGGAGAGAACGAAAACAAGAGCGACGTCTTAAAAAGGCGATGCATATAAGGACGCTTAGTGCGAATGCGTGAACCAAGTTGAAGTGGATCGAGACGATCGGTCGAAAATCTGGTGACCAAAGTAAATAAAATTTCGTCCTATCCAAAAAAATTACAGTTGGTACCGAAAAATCGTGCGCCGTGTAATCAACTTACGAGAGTTGTGTTGTGTGCAGGTATAATGCACTAGCAACTCGGAGCAGTCGAGTATTCGATTCTCTCTCTCTCTCTCTCTCTGGCGTTCGATGAATTTGTATTGTATACATATTGTATTAAAGCATTAAGTGTGCTGCTTTGACGCGAGTGTGTGTAGTACCTTACATACGTGCGCATCTGTTATAAACCCGTGTGTGCTGGTGCCTTGGCAGCAGCAGCAGCAGTTTAACCGCGAGTATACTACATACATATACAGTATCATATACATTCAGAAGTAGCAGCAGGCCGAGTTTGTGTTCTCCATCTCTCCGATCTCGCTCGCTGTTCGCCTCGGCATAACCTCCAACGTGTGATAGTGTGCGTAAAAGTGTGTTGTTGGTTGGTGCTCGCTGTGTGATACATATATAAATGTGCAAGTGTGCGAAAATCGAACGCCCGAAAATTCAACAAATTTCGGCCGCAGTGGAATAATAATGAGGGCGGCTCGCCGCTGCGCCGACGACGACGACTCCGTTTCCGTGTCTTACTACGAGCGGTGAGAGAGTGAAATGAGATGAGAAGCCGAGATACCACCAATACGTCGGTTATCGAGAGCTCATACTACAAGATCGTCCATCGAACGAGGTAAGAAACCGAGAATTTGACTTATTTTGTTTGGAGTACATACGTTTATATATAGAACACCACACGTTCGACGCGGAGCAGCTCTGCTCTGATCCCTGTCGTGTACACACACACACACATATAGAAGTGCATACATACGTAGAAATCGAGACTCTACCCGTGTGTATAAGGCCAACTGCAACAAGTAGTGATATATATATATATACAGAAGAGGTGTAAAAAATGAGCGATCGGTCTGTACTGGGGCGAGAATCGCCTTCGCTGTTTATAACACACGATAATATTAAAATATAACTCGCGCGCGCGTATATCGAGAGATATACATTCTTCATCATATTGCACACAGAAATGTATGTATGTATATTGGGCATACTAATAACGACGCCGTCGATCACGAGTTCGACGAACTTTTGCCTGTATATGTATAAATGCGAGTGTGCGCGTTGTGTATATGTGCTCCGGTGCGAGCTGTCGGTTACTACTTATAACACGAAAATTTTACGGAAATAGAATTGATTTGTTTGCCTATTCGCGCCCCTCGGAGGCCTCTGCGTGTTACGCGATTGTTGTTTTTCTCGCGGCCGCGAGAGCTTTCCGTTTTATCACGACTTTTTAAAAATCTTTGCCAAGCTCATATACCTGCGTTCGCGCGCGCGACAAAAAAAAATTATACGACACGCGAGAGGCAAAAGAGAAGAAGAAAAGTCATTTGAGAGGCTTCGATCGATACAATAATGAGCCAGAAAAGAGAATATATAGTACGTCCGCGCGCGAGCTCGTATACTTATAAGGAAACTGCTTAAAAGACCGTTGTTTCTTCTTTTCTCGTGGTTCTTCTCTTCCCGGTCGTCGTCGCGTTCCATTGCTTTCGCCTTCCATACCATACTACTCTTCTTTACGTCTAATTTTCTCCGTATCGTTTATATATACCCATATACACAACGAGCGTGCACAAAATACGAAACACGACAACAACAACAAAAATGTTAAGCTCGTTCTCTCGTCGTCGTACAAAAGAATATTAAAATGTTACGGCAAAAAAAAAAACAACAACTCAAAATAAAAAAGGAGAAATGAGACGCGACGACGACTAAGACCCGTGCAAGTCCCGTCGTCGTTCGGTACGTCGTCATCGATGCGTCACTATCCAAGACTCTCAGACCCGTAGAATCGTTTCCGCTCTTTATGAGTCTTGTGTGTTGTGTATGTGTCTATATGTGCGGTGGGATATTATATGCGTAAATTATAACTAAGAGAGAGAGTGAGTGTATGCGGACCCAAAGCCGCATGGGGCAGATGTTTTTTTTAAGCGTAAGCCTTAACTAGCCTGACTGCCTGCGCCTGCCAAGCCTTAACGCTCGTTGCCCTTTTTATTTTTTACTCGTTTTATTTTTTCTTCGAGTGACCCTAACAGGTGGTACTTGCTTACTCTGTTATGTATTGTATACGGATCGACTACGTTTTGTGCCCGCGAGTAAAAAGCTTAATTATTCTTTCTTTTTTTGTTGTTGTATTTTTTGATTCCGCACATAAAGCGCAATGGCATTGCAAGTTTTTATCTACTAAAAGCGTCGGTGTATATGTATTTTTACGCCCACCGTATAGCAGCGAAACAAACCCAGCTACAGCTTCGATTATGCACGCGAATAAATTAATCCCTGTCGACATTTCTCTCGGCTCCTCGAGCTGCACATCAATTGAAATCGCAATAGGCTAATAAACGCACATAGTGGAACGTACGACGAACGGATGGAGGGGAGATGTGTCGTTGCGAATTTCTCGCTTACATATATGCAGAACCGTATGTGTAATGTGCGAGAGGCGCTACGACGACGACTATTACTATAAAAGCGACAATCTTTGAAATATAAAAAAATCATTCCTACCGCGAGCTGAATTGTCGTCGATGATGTCATAAATAAGCTCTTCAGAAAATCATTGTTGTATACGCGCTACTTTTCTGACGTATGCTGGGTAGCAGTGATGATATATTTTTTTAACGTTGCCTCGAGAGGAGGCTTAACGAGTACTTATTATATTTCATTTACCGATCGTTTCGAAATCGATCTTAAACGGCGCGTTGAACTTTCGAAATGATTATAATACACTCTCGCATTGGATGTTAGATATTACCATAGATACAAAAAATAACATGGTCAATGTGCCTTGCGTAACTCTTGGAAGAATTGTCTTTGGTTTTAAAATTCTTTTATTGTCGAAGACTCGTTTTTTTATCTCTCTTTTACATTCCACGCCACAGTGGTATTATATAGAATCCTGGAAAGTGGAATAAGTACTTTTAATCTCGTACTAAAAAAGTTGTATTGTTATAGAATTCAAATGAAGCTGTACTTTTTATCGCGTTCTTTGGAAGAATTCCAACGATCTTTTTTGTTAAGTGTCATTGTTAATTTTCGTTTCAAAATCCCAAAACCGTAATCGGAGAGATATTAACTCCTCATTTTACAACTTGGTTAAATTTCATTAATTAAAAGATTTGTCTTATAAGTTTATGACACACTTTATCGAAATGTCTGAACAATCCTATTCATATAATGCTTTTTATGTAACCATTACAATACCATGAACCGATCAATACCATTTTCAAACCTTACAATTTTTAATTCGCTTTTAAGAATACAAACGAACATTGTTATGATGTATTCATGGTGTTTCGATTATCATGTGTCATAATTCGCTACATTCGAATCATGTATAATTCAGTGCGGTAACACGTTGGATGTCAAAAATAAATCATCTATAACTTTCTCTCGCAGCTCGTTATTTCCTAACACTTATATATACGCGTGACCTACGATTAAAACTAAGCGCGTTGACGTACTAATCAGAGCTTTTTGGGACTCGTCAATTTTTCTAGCTGTCAAAAAAACTTTTCCCTTCGACGCGAAAGCTCTTATCGTTCGAAAGTGGACATTGACCTTCGTGACTCTTCGGTTTTTGCTTGTGGTGGTATGGAACAGCCCGTGCAATTGTTTGCAGCAAAGTCACGCGCTCGGGCGACATAGAACTCGCGAAGCTTCGAGACGTCGAAGCTCGAATGAATGAAGCTCCTTCATGCCCTCAAAGAAGTATCACTCACGCTGGGTCTGTCTTCGCGCCAGCTTATAGAAAAGCCATACTTACTCGATGTTCAATGAGCTTTGATCGAAAAGCGAAGATTCATGTGCAGCGCAATGCGAATCGTCGTATAGTCGTCGGGTCTCGGAGAGAGATATATTAAAGAGAACTGCGAGAGGGGTAATTTACGCGCATCATCCTTATATTAAAGTACTGTTATCGTAGCAAAGTCTGTGTTTCCAGAACCGTATACCATATACAGAATATGACTGTTCCCCAACGCGCATAACAACAATAACAATAACAACAACAACAACAACAACACAACAATAATACAGTTACGCGGAAAACTTGCCGTATCTTCCTTTTTATATACGTTATATATTCGCGCGCGCCTATCGTACGTGAAACATGCATATAAACGGTGCGCTATATTATGTTTATTATTATAATAAAAATATAAAACAGCATGAAGCGTGAGACAGAGAGATAGATATAGAGGAGAGAAAGAGACATTTTAATTCATAAAAAAATTACTGCACTGCTTTGCTCCCATTTCCCCTGTGCAGTAGCAGTAGCATATTACAGGTACATATACACTTATAAATATAAACGTGCGAAAGCCGGATGCTTTTTCTCGCTCTCGTTGAAAAATTCGTCGTGAATCGCGTAAAATTTCTCCTTTATAGAATTGGAATTTTGCGCGCCAATAAGAAAAACAATGGTACTACCTAGCTAGAGCTAACAGAAGAAATGTTTAAAAGAAAGAAAAAAAAAAAGAACCGTCTCGTCTGCTGCTCTTTTCCTTTGTATACATTACCCAAAGTCACATGCACGCAGCACGCGCTTATCGCCGCAGCAGCTAAAATAACATCCATAAAGGAGCTTGTGTGTGGCGTGTCGTCGTCGTCGTGTGTCTGCTTTGCTCGGCATACACAAACACGTAGCAGATATATAGACTTTCGTCGTTGCGCATAATATTGTACGTATGTATGTATGTATGTATGTACGTCGGCTCGCGCGCTGCAGTGGTTCTTCACCACTTCGTCGAGACCTTAAAAGGGGGGGAGGGCGGCAGCGGCAGCAGCAAAAAAAAACGTAAATGAATACGTTACATCCTACGACGAGGAGGCGCTCGTTTTGCCGTATAAACTACGCACCGCGGCGTATATAATGCGTGTGCTCGACACGGCAGCGCACAAAACCGCCCAGCAACGTAATAATAACCGGCGCGCGAGCGAAGCGCGTGTAGCTGCTATATATATAGTAGTACATGTATATCCTTATAAATGCGTAATAAAGGAGAGCAGAGATAACGCGCAGGATATATATAGGAATTCCCCGCGAGTCTGCCTGACTCTCTTGTGTGCATCTCGCGGAGCTCTCTGGATGCGACAGTTTTGTAAAACTTTGTGCCATGTAATAGAAAGTTGACGCGAGTTACTCGTACGTTTTCTATTAAAAAAAACAAAAAGGAGTCACGATAACGAAAGTCGCGTGATCGTTTCCTCTTTTTTGTCATTTTTGTGGCCTCGCAGCCGCTCCTCATACATAATAGAAAGTCATATCAGCTTGGATAAAAATTCCGAATGTAATATACGAGGAGAAGCGCGCGCGAGATGTCGTTAGAATTAGTGAGCGTTCGTAGTACGTATAAAAGGATATGTATGCACACGCTCGCTGCTGGCCGACCTTGGAAAGATAGTTTTGTAGCACACGCACACACTTATGGGCCGAGGAAGGAGAAAAATACCTATACACACAGACATAACGTACCAGTCTTGTTCGAACATTATAAGCGCGAGGAGAGAGAAAGAAAAGAGAGAGAGAGAGAGAGAGAGACGTGACACGAAAGTTGAATTATGGTTTGCCTCCATAGAAATTCTTTGGCTCCTGAGCTGCTGCTGTTGCTGTTGCCTTCGAGTGTGGCGAGAGATGCAGCAGAATCAGCAGCTTCGTTATATTCCATTCGTATATATAATGGTATATATAGTCGTCGGAGAATAATTACGCGTATAGCAGTCCTTGTTTGTTTTGCTTTGCTTTGGAAAATCCTAATTGCAAAACGAATATAATGCGCTTTTCATATACGTAGCTCCGAGAGACGGGCATTTACGTAAAAGCCCCCGAAGAAAATCAAACATCCGATCGTGTGGATTCTCTACGCGAGCGATCCCTCTCTTGGCGTTGGTCGCATGCGGATGATTGCCTAGTATTTTCAGTTTTATTTAGTATAAGCGTATGTGGATGAGGAGAGAGAGAGAGAAAGAGAGGCACAAAGTTATTAGTACATCGAGGTCGTGTAAATAAAGGCCTTTGCGGGAGGATCGATCAATAAATAACGGAGCACTGTATAACAGTGAGCCGCGTCCCTAAATATAAACGTCAAAACTTTGATTTCCAACTTTGTTTCCTTTCTCTCTCTCTCTCTCTCTCGCCAAGTACCTTCAAACTTGATGATGATGATGATAGCGCGCGAATACTACTTTGGCCGAAAATACTTTTCCGCTACGATGCTCCCGTGTGCGCGAGAGATAAACTGACAAATGACTTTCTCCGCAGTGGTATGTGTTTGCTCTTCCTGAACACGAAAGTCGTCGTCGTCGTCTTCGTCGAGAGTGAAAGAATAAAAAGTATGTATATGGCCGATTCTTAGTGAAACCAAAAGGTCAAAAAATTTTCTTTTTCCGTTAACACGAAAAAATTGTTCTTTGTGATGTCATACATAATACCAAATTATATTTAAGATTCATCATTAATATAACATCTTTTTAATTTATCTTTTTAAATATATTTAATATTTATCTTTTAAAGATTGCTACAATTGAAAAAACTTGGAAAATTACTAGATGAGCATAAAGTAAATGAATTTTTTAAATTGGTCATATTTCAAGATGTAAGATTTAATAATCATAGATAGACATTAACGAAATAACACAAGACAAAGATAATTGTATAATCTAAAATTAAAAGCAATTACATAAGTAGGTAATTGTTCAAATACATCTTACTTTTGTATTCAAAGCTACCTGTCGACCCGTTTCGATATTTAAAGGTGTGCACTTGGCTCAATGCTAGCACAGCAAGTTTTAATGGCCCTCATCAATAGTTGTATCATTTTCCTGGTTTTTATAGAGTATCTATACCAATCAGTACAGTAACTATTGTGGTCAGCAATAACCAAAACATTTGAATTATAAATAAACGAAGTAATTTCAATGATTCACGAGAACCAAAATCCTTACCAGTAGTTAAAAATGTCACTGCTAGCATCATACATTTTCTGCGAGGGATAGTTTGTTACTAACAAAAACTCTGAGTACATGATGTATACAAATCCCATTTTGAAAGCAAAGTTTATGTCTACGAATTAATATCAAAAAACATATTATTAAAATTCACACTTAAATTAAGAATATCAAGAAAACATTTCTCAAAATTTGATTTTCCAATGAAAAACAGAAATCAATCGAATTTACGAATATGTTAGCTAAATTGTCTTACTAAATAATTAAAATAACTTTATAATATATACGTCCAAATTTATTTTCAATTATTTATAATGGTGATCCTTGGTCAACTCATCCGAATACATCCTTTTTTAGTCCATTCGATTTCACTGAGAATCAGCCATATATGCACCGTACAGAAACACGTTTGTGGTATCTTTTTGCGGAAACAAGAATTTTTATCAGCATGGAAAATCTATCTAGGCCTCTCCCGATCTCTCGCGATATACATAAAGGTGTTGATATGCATATTTCGAGCGCGATATAATACATTCGGATGCTTTATCACTGGTGCAGCCGATTCTTGCTGTGGCTGCGCTATATTGTGCGGCCAAGGAGCTCCGAGGGCAGCTCCTCTGTTGCGGATTATATACCTCGAGAGAACGAGAAAGAGAGAGAGAGAGAGAGAGAGAGAGAGAGAGAGAGAGAAAGAGATAAATCGTCGAATCGCATAAGACATGCGAGTATGTGAGTACGCGTACGTATGGTATAGTGCAGTTCTCGGGCGCAATTGCTGATCCGTCGTTTCGTATAGGTCAACCTCTCTCGAGCCGCGCGCTCTTATCCTTTCCCTCCTTGCGCACGTATACGCACATAGTACACATACACGCATACACGCATATACGTAGCAGCAAAGCTGCTATTCTCCTTCGTACTCTCTTTCTCTCTCTACGTACGAATATAAACGTATCCTACACGGTATAACATTACGCAGCGTACGCACGAGTGTGTATATAATACGAGTGTGTGTGTGCGCGCAATCTATGTGCCTCTCCTTTGCAATCATAATATCCTATACGCGTGCTATAATATGCTGTACATATATACTTTATGTATGTGCTCGCATTCGTCGAATTGTCTACTACCACCTTTATACGTCGTAAAGGTCCTTTTCCTGGCAGGCCGCGCGTTTTTCGCTCTTTCTTCTTCCTCTCTTTCCTTATGTACATTTAGCCATGTGTATACGTATGCCTATGCACGCTGTATGCTATACCAGCTGTTGAATCCATGAGCCATAAGCTTCCGGCGCGCGCTAGCTGCGTTTATCAGCTGTTCGATGCTCCTTCTGCCCAGGACAATATTGCCTTGATGTATTCTGCTAGTGCTGTAAAACTTAGCGATCCTCGAGCGAACATCGCTTTTTCATCCTTTTTTTGCTGCTGCTACTGGCGTTGCTGCTCTGATTCGCTCGTATACTCTCGAAAACGAGAACAGCAGTCGGCAGCTCATGTATACGAGAGCGAATATAATTTCCGAGCCTGCCATTCATTTATCGAGAAGCGAGAGCGTCGCGCGATTCGTGCCAATAACCCATTGATTTTCGATCGTCGAGGTGTATCTCGTTATATATATTATATTAAATGTAGGCCTCCGCGGCTGTGGCTACGGCGGCGGCGATACGAGGCGCGATCGTAACGACAGCAACATCAATAAACGAGCTACAAGCGTTAAATGTACTTTGCCGCGCGCTCCTTCGAAAAAGTAGTGAAAGCTAGATGTTGTTCGCGCTGTAGTATACACACGATATATGTTATTATAAAAGCGCGCGACACGCTCGCGGCTAAAAGTGTGGCGCGAGAGACCGTGTCTAGTACTACATACCGCGGTACACCTATATAGTATAAGGAGAGTGGCGATTCAGCCGCGGCGGCCCGCACGACTGCGCGACCGCGACACGCACACATACACACACACACACGACGTTGAAAAAGCCGCGAGTATACGCACAAAGTAGGTGACGCGCATTATTATTGTACCTATAGAATCCACGTGTTTCGCTCCTATGCTCTTCATATAAACATTGTAACATCGTTCATTTATAGAATTGTGTTTCTGCAGTTGTGCTGCACAGGGCAGAGCTGCTGCTGCTCTCTTCTCTTAATGCGCGCATTGTATAGTACACTTGATTGACTCGATCATTCTGTATATGCGCTGCGCTAAAACGAGAGCAGCGACTCAAGGGGTTGTGTATGAAGAACAATCGACCGCGATATATTATATTAATATGCAGTACATGTTTGCTGCTGCTGCTGCAGGCGTACACTGTTCTTCGTCTCGGCTCTCCGCGGTAATCAGTTCACTCTCGAGTCGTCTCTCCAAGCATTGACTATCAATTTAGCCTAATTTCGTACACTTGGCTCGCATCTCTTATACATCCATGTGTCTGTGTGTATATGTGTGTGTGTATAGTATACGCATGCACATGCACTTGCTCCGCTGCTGCTGCATGAATCATGACTCGCGCGCCCGCCGAAGAAAATTGCTCCGTTATACACGTTAAGACGGCGCGTATCTGCTGCTGCCTCTTTTTTTCCTCTTTCCCCCTTTCTCGCGTGGGCTCTCTCTCTCTCTCTCTCTCTCTCTCTCGTTTCTGCAGAAGCGGCTGAGAAAACGGCTTGAGTTGCCTGCTGTGTGCCGCGCGCGCGTTGCGGGACTTTTTGCCAGTGCCGCATATTATATTAATGCAGCTCCGAGCTCTCGCTCGCGAACGCGTGCGAGCTGCTGTATGTTAACCCCCTCCCGCTCGCGCGCGCGTATTATTATGTATATGCGTTAGCGCGCGAGCGGAGATGACGTACGCTATATGACAATTCTCGCGGGTATTTTATGTATTATATATCGCACCGTATTTTAGCTTGGCTCCTGTTTGATACGCAGGAATCGAAAGAAGCGGAGTGCGTTATAGGCTTGTATGCGCTTCTTAAATTTCTGTCCGCGGTATTGAATTATATTTTGACCTAGATATAGGAATGCGCGCGCCCGAGAGAGTCGCTCTAATCGTACAAATGCCGTAATTCGAACTTTGTATTTTTCTTTTTCGCAGAGTGGTCGAGACAGCACGCGCAAATTTCCGAAAGCAACGAGAGGATGAGCAATGATGAGCAGCATCAGCAACGGCCGAGTCTACGATAACGCGAGCAGCATGATGATCGCCACCAACAACAGCAGCCCAGTCAAATCGACAGGCAGCATGTCGATGATGTCGCCAGTAGCTGACTCGTCGACGTCGTCGTCCGCAGCTGCAGCTACGTCTTCTTCGATCGACGACCCTAATAACGATGGCGAGTTGACTCATTACTATTATTATCATTATTACCGCGCGTCGCTTTTATTGTACCGAGAAAAAATAACGATAATGTGCATGCGCGCTCCTTATTGGAGATAATAATCTTTGAATGTCTTTTGTTACACCCGTACTATATACAGCGGACAGCATGAGCAAGGAGATCCTCGCTACTCTGGATCAACAATCCGACTCGAGTAATTCCTTTTACAATCACCACAACAATCATTACAATCATCAAGACCAAATGCAGCAGCAATTATCCTCGTCGATGAATTCGTCCCAGCAGCAGCAAAACCAACAACAACAACAACAACAGATGCAGCAAATGCAGCAGCAGCAACAACAACAGTCACAACAGCAGCAGCAAAGGGTACCACCCACGTACGTGTACAGCACCGAGCATCATCATCACTCGCATCTTTATCATAATGAACGTAACGACAATTTGGACGACGTCGAGGTCGACGTGGACGACGAGAACAATCATCACGATCTCTATCATCAACACAACAATCGCCATAACAATCATAATCATCATAATCATAATCACGACGGCGAGCCACCGTCGTCGCAGCAGCATCAGCAGCAGCAACAGCACAATAATTATCGAAATCAGCTGGCCGAGGATCAGCTCGGGCCGCTGCCGCTCAATTGGGAGAAGGCTTTCACCGAGACGGGAGAGGTCTATTTCATCGAGTGAGTTTTTGCAGCAATCGAAAGTCATAATAATGATAATAATGATACTGATTGCAACGATTGATTTTTTGTTTGTTTTTTTGTTTACTTATTAAAGTCACAATACCGGCACGTCGCACTGGCTCGACCCGCGATTATCCAAGTTTCAAAAACGATCGCTCGAGGAGTGCCTGGACGACGAGCTGCCTTACGGCTGGGAAAAGATCGAGGACACCCTCTACGGCACTTACTTTATCGACCATGTGAACCGACGGACGCAATACGAAAATCCCGTCATTCAGGCAAAACGTGCTCAACAGATGCTCGTATGTTCTTCTGTTTTACTTTCTATCTTTTTTTTATTTTTTGCTCTTTTTTTTTATTCTCTCCTATACATCCTTTTACTCCTCGAGCTTAAAATGCTAAAAATAAATCGTGTACTTTTTGCAGCAGACTTCTATGAACGAGCACAACAACAAGGCCCCACCGCCTTCGGGCGGATTCACGCGCAATCCGGACGCGCTCAAGGGCCAACGGCTGCGAACCACCCTAGTAAAAAGCTCGCGCGGCCTCGGCTTCACCATCATAGGGGGCGACGACAATTGCCAAGAATTCTTACAAATCAAGAGCGTAGCGGCCAATGGACCCGCCTGGCTCGATGGCAAACTCCAGACCGGCGACGTGCTCGTCTACGTCAACGACATCTGCGTGCTCGGCTTCACGCACAACGAGATGGTCCAGGTGTTCAAGTCCATCGCCAGCGGCGAGACCGTCTCCCTCGAGGTCTGCCGAGGCTATCCGCTGCCCTTCGATCCGAACGACCCCAACACCGAGGTGCTCACGACGATCGCCGTAAATCCGCCCGAACAAGAGCAGAGCCTGTACATGGATCTGGAGCGCGCGGTGGCGCGTGGCGAGCGCTTCGATTTTCTCAACTCGGCGACCTCGTTCATGCCGGTGTCGCACAGAAACGGCGTCGTTGTCGAGAATCTCGCGTCGAACGCGTCCGTGACCTCCATGCCGGATCTGTGCATCTCGGAGAAGTTCAACATCGTCAAGAGGCCCAACAGTACCGATCTGCTGCTAAACGATAGCGTGGATCACGCCGTGACGACGCATCATCGAGAGCTGCACGCGACGGAGCAGCAACAGCAGTCTGCACACTCGCCGATTTCAGGACCCAAATCGTCGGAATTCCTCACCATACCCATAGTCAAGGGCATCACGGGCTTCGGCTTCACGATAGCTGACTCGGCGCACGGCCAGAAGGTCAAGAAGATCCTGGACCGCGAGCGCTGCAAGAATCTCATGGAGAGCGACATACTGGTCAGCATCAACGACGTCAACGTGCGCAACATGTGTCACGCCGAGGTCGTGCAGGTGCTCAAGGACTGTCATCGCGACCAGGAGGCGCTGATCTACGTGCAGCGTAGCGCCGCGCTCAAATCCCCCCTGACCGTGATGGCCGACAAGGAGAGCAACGGCAGCCCGAGCAAGGACAAGCACGCGACTTTCGACTTCTTTCGTAGCAAGACGCCCACGGCTGACATCTACAGCACTCAGGCCAAGACCGTCGTGCCGCAGAGATCGAAGACGCCGCTCATCGACACGCGCTACAACAAGGAGACCGCCTGCTCCCCGCTGCCACCGCTTCTACCGTCGAGCAGCAACGTGATCGTGCCTCCACAGCAGACGGTGGCTGAGCTGAGGGACGCCCTGGAGAACAGATACAACAAGTTCAACAATTCCAACGGGAACTACGCGAATCAACCCATCTATGGATACACCGACGTGCCGTATAAGACGGAGATGAGCCACATGACGGATAGTTTCGCGGGTATGGGATTGAACAGTAAGTTTGAATTTTCGTTTCTTTCGTTTCGTATTCATAAATAGATCGCTTTATTGAGATTATTTTTTTGCAGCACGACTCGATGTCGAGGACAGTCTCCGCGAAGTTCTGAAACAACGCGAGGATTGGCTCGGTATGAGCATGAACGGCGGTGAAAACATCTACGGTATCAGCGTGAATCACCACTCGCAATCACCCATGTCCAATCACCACATGCCGAAACAAAACGGCGGCACCTATCATCATCAGGCCCAACAAGAGCCGATGGGCGATTATTACAAGGATATTTACGGCACGACGTCGCACTACGACAACGGCCAGCATCATCATCAGGATTACATGGCGATGTGCGCCGGACAGGAACAGAACGTCGATACCGGCGAGATCTGGGACAAGAGGAAAGAAAGCACGAGCTTCGAACACGAGCAGCCGCGCTCCAGTTCTATCACACAGCAGTTAGTATAACTGAGCATTTTCTGGCTTGAAAGCATTTTCGTGAAATTTTACAATTTGTTATTTATTTTGACTTAGGTACGCTAATTATGGCGATGGTATGATGAGAGTTAGCGATATGGTGTATTCAAGAATGCCGGATATCGAATGGATCGAGTCCTTAGTAACCCTCATACGCCATGATAACGGGTTTGGATTTAGAATCGTAGGCGGTACAGAGGAAGGAGCGCAGGTTAGTTTTTTTATTTAATATAATCTTCTTCCGAACCCATTAATAATTGATATATTCAAAAAATCAATTGACAATTTAATTATAGCAGGTATCTGTCGGACATATCGTACCTGGCGGAGCAGCAGACCAAGACGGCCGCCTGAGTTCCGGCGATCTGATCGTGTCGGTCGACGGGGAATCGGTACTGAACTCGTCGCATCATCGCGTCGTCCAGCTGATGATCGCAGCCGCGCAAAATGGCCAAGTTACTCTGGGAGTCAGGAGGCGGGTCATGCCCCAAGAGCATCAGCTACATCGCGAGCAGATGCAGTCGGTCGCCTCGAATTACGGCTGCCGGGGTATCGGCTTGACCGGCATCAATCACATTCAGTATCCGTACGATGTCACGGTGACGCGCGAGGAAAACGAGGGTTTTGGTTTTGTACTGATATCCTCGGTAAACAAGGCCGGCTCGACGATCGGTCGTATCATCGAAAGTTCGCCGGCCGAGAGGTGCGGTCGGCTCAACGTCGGAGATCATATACTTGCCGTCAATCGCGTTGATATAACCAACGCTTGCCATAAAGATATTGTGAATCTCATCAAAGATTCCGGATACTCGGTTACTTTGACGATAGGATATCCACTTGATGACTGCTGCAGCAATACATCTCTTTCTCAGAAAGTATGTAAAGTTTTACATTGTTCAATCGAAAATCTAGTAAATGCGTATAATTAATTAATGTGTGTTTTTTTAAGGATGAAACCATAAGCGAAGGCGATAGTGGTCAATATCACGCAGTGGAACTGACTAGAGGTACTCGTGGTTTTGGATTCAGTATACGAGGAGGACGAGAATTCCAAAATATGCCATTGTTTGTGCTGCAAATCGCCGAAAATGGACCTGCATCGATAGACAATCGTCTAAGGGTATTTAGAAAATCAATAATTCCCTTGTAAATTTTCTAGTTCATTACTTTAACCTTTTAATTTTCAACTTTGTACTTTAGGTTGGCGATCAAATTATAGAAATTAATGGAATAAATACAAAAAATATGACTCATACAGAAGCCATCGAAATTATAAGAAACGGTGGCCCGACCGTAAGGCTGCTTGTACGACGAGGATGTCAAATGCCTTCAGTGGTAGGTTCACCAAATCATCACCACGACATGAACATTTAAAACAATTATCAAGCATCCACGATTGTTTTAACGCTAACTAAATGTCATTTACCCTCATTTTAATTTTGTTTTTAATTTTCATTCTTGTAATTGCATTTACCATTTTACATTTTTTTTTATTGCGAAAACGCTTTCTTTCCCTAACGAATGCTGTAGATACAGGGTGGGCTGGAAAAATATTAAGCTGCACTTTTACATCTTAATGGTGCTTATTCACGGATCATCTGCTTCTTCGTTATTTAAATTTAAATGAAAAATTTGGGTAATTCGTTAATCAATGCTTATACAATTTTTCAGAGTACTCCATGAAAAGAATAAATGCTATTGGAGTGATGTAAATTTCCGTTCATCCTAAGTCACTCAGCGATTTTTTTATATTTTGTAAATATGATAATGACAATTTTATTGCATTATTATAAGTATTATAAAAATAACGTTCATTAATAAATGTACTAACACGTGTGATAATTTACAAAAAAAGCAAACATTGTGCCTTGTGCGTGTTCTGATCAGTGAGTTCATTAACAACCATTTAAAAGTGAATGTTACATTGTTATATTTAAGTGTCGTTCGTGTTTCATATCAAATTAATCATATGAATGGTTTGTTCAACATTGGCTTATTACCAATCGAAAAAGTTTCAACTTGACAATCAATTTTTTTATGTTTAGCTTACAGAAACAGACTACTCTTCAGTAGCATACTTTTGACAATGAATATATGATTTATTCGTTCCATTATAACTAAATTTGAGCTGAACATAAAAACATAAAATAAAAGACGTGTCAAGAGAAACTTTTTCCAACGGCTCATGCAAAGTGAATTAGAGATATCGAAATATTATTTACAATGCTCGATATGAAATTAATATTATAGAATTACATGAGTATTGATGAATTAAATGAAGCTGCGGAAGATTCACGGATGATAGAGCATGAAGCTGCAAACAGCCAAATCATAACAAGACGTTCGAAAGACAATAAAAGAGTCTCATTATCGTGTTGCTGTACAACTCGGCCGCGACGTTTAAGTTGATTTTTTAATAAAAATCTTATGTTTAAGAAGTAAATATTATACTGTATATGAATTTATTTAAAAAAGAACAAAATCGTGCGACACGATTTTTCAACTTTTAATTATTAAATAATTAATTGTAATGTACGTGATCCAAGATTTTTTTGTGGACTTGAAATAATGCGCTCCGAGAGATTTATTATATAGAACTTCAAAAGTTTTAAACATAATGATAAGACGTATGTTAAGAAATATACATTAATTTATGGTGACGTAAAATTAATTTGTTGATGCATTTATATTTTTAAGAATGAGTTACATTCTTTTATACATACATATATGAATGAATGAAGACCTACTGTTTTTATATAATATAAAAAAGAAATGAGTGCCCTCTTCTTAATTATAAGGAATGAATTACGAGCAGAATTCATTAATCAAACATAACATATTTCACGAATCTGTGTACATAGAAACATTTTTTCAATTGAAAGAGTTTCTTCAAAAATAATTGGAAACAATTCTTATTTTGCAATAAACTATGTTCCATTTTATGCAACATTTTTATTGGAAAATGAATCAAAGTATTTTTAAGGGAACTTCTTCGTTGTTACAAGTTAGGAGTACTGTTCAACTCTGTCGTCACCAAAGAATGCGTTCAATATTTTGATTGCAGTGTATTTTTTTCAGATATCTAGAAAAATTGATTTTATGAAACGGATTTGTGAAGTTTAAGAGCTTATTTTATGTGTAGAAATTCGAGAATTGAGCTTAAAACTGTTGAACAAATTTTCATCGAGTATGAAAAGTGTATATTTTTATAAAAATATTTAGAGCTAATGAGATTTCTTCAAAACTCGAATCATGATAAAATTGTTATATTTGGAGATCTCATTTCCGTTGATACATCATTGAATGTTCACATTACATATTATATATCATTTACAAAACATGTAAATGCTTATATATTTACGAATTTATGCATTTACATATTTTAATTTATATATACATATGTAGAATCTATATACGGTAAATTTAATCCCACAGTTATGACTTTCGAAGTAAAATATTATGTAATGTATCTATATACTTTTACATTGACTTGTGAACGCTGAAACTTTTTTTATCATAAAAATTTTTAACTATTTTCTTATTAGTAATAAATTTATGTAAATACATGTAAAACAATAAAGTTCTATATATTTATCAAGTAATTCGAAATTAATTTTTTTAGTAGTGAAAAAATAATTTTCACATGTTTTGCCTATCATGTTATTCTTCTGTATACCAATGTCCTTTTCAAATTTTTTGTTGAATAGTTAACTAATTTGCACAAGCTTCAGGCTAAAAATAAACATTGTACAGCGGCTGCTGATTTCGAGATCGATTCCTTTGAAGTCTATTGAGGGTATTCCATTAGAACATCTGCTTAAATAATTTTACCAAATGAAACTGAAAATGTTAGATGGGCATCAAGTCCAGTGTAACTCTTTTAAGTGGTGTAGAAAAATAATTAATATTGATTTCGGAAACTTTATTGGAATGAGTTCTACAATCAAAACACTTATGATTCGTAACATAAAACTGCACACCGACGAACTTTTACCCTTTCAATCTATATACACAAAAATATACTTTAAAAGCCAGTTTTGGTGCTTACATAAAATCATATTCTAATGTTGATGATTTTACGCAAAATTTTCAAATTTATTTTACTTAATAAGGTGATAATGAAAAGTTACGTTGACAATAATAAGTAAATAAATCATCATTGTCAGTTACAAATGATTATTAAAGCTTTCTTTACTTTTTATTCATTTTTTTCCTGTGTTTCATTACTTATATTAATAAAATAAGTATTTTAGAAAGTACAAAATTTTATTTATAGCTTACTGATTCGAAGAAAAAAACTTCAAATTGATTTGTCTCTTAATATAAAAGAGAAATAATTTAATCACAAATGATCATGCCAAAATTATTGTAAATTTCTTCCTAACTCGAATTGTAAAATTCTTGTTTACATTATTTAGATCAAAACATGCCTAATTTTAACTTGTATTTGTAAATAAAAATTTTCTTTTCAATAAATGAGCTGTAAAATTTGGTGGTAAGTATTTCAAAAGATTTGATGCTTTCAACCTCGTTGGTAGTCTCTTAAATCACTCATGATTTGAAATAATATTTGATTCAAAAACTTTGTCAAATTAAAACATTTATTTGAAACAAACATTGTCTTCAAATCTTGTGCATATAGGTTTTAATCTTATAATTTAAAATACTTATAAAATTCTAAGCATTTAGAAACCTTCTTTATATTGTTTTGAATCTAATCTAGTTTGTAAAACTTCTAGATGCCTCTTAGCTTCACATTGTGGGAAGTTTTGCAGATCATAATATTGAGGTGCTATTTTTAAGAGCCATTCAGCTGTAAAGAAAAATAATTATCAATTATTATTATTATTATTATTATTATTTTATTTTATTTTTTTTTTCAAGAAAAATCTAAAGTGTAAATGAGGCTTACGTTTAATATCTGTCACAGTTCGGATATAATTCTTCGTCGTCAGCACAAATTCATTGTATATAACCCATTCAGGTTTGTGATCTAGGCAACTGCTAGGATGAAGCTGTACAATTTGATTATCCTTGATCGTTAAATAATGTCCGGTTCTTTCCAAATGCGCTACCTGCATGAAGAATCCATTGACGAGAGCTTTTCTGATATTGACATAGTAGTCTTTCGACGTAAAGTCTGTGGATGTGCGTTTCAATTGGAAACGATCCATAATTCTACTCAATTGTTGCCTAACATTGTCTCCGCTTTTTAATGATCTGTAGTTAACGAAGTTATCGTAGCACCACTGAGGATCATCTTGATCTATCAACAAATAAAATTAATTTTAATAAACCTTCATCTTTTCACGATATAAAATAGTAATTATTGTACTGTTAAGCTTACTCTGTTTGAAAGCGTGATACACGTTCAAGAGGGTCAGGTGGTCTCCATCAATATGAGCAAATCGCATCTTTGCTTCATCTGCTGCTTTCTTAGCTTCGTTCGGACGAACAAAGCATTGTGGAACTGACAGCATAGCAGTTATGCTGAGGATTTCATTGCTGCAATTATGATTGCACGATGCTATCAACATTTTGGCTAATTGAGGATCTAGAGGGAACTCGGCCATGACCGCGCCCAAGTCGGTTAGGTTGCCGTCGTCATCTAGAGCGGCGAGATAATTTAAAAGTTCTAGAGCTCTCATGAGAGTTTCTGGAGCGGGTGGGTCCATAAAATCAAAATGTACCAAATCGTCAATTCCAAGTTTTTTCAACTGCAAAACAACGCTGCCAAGATTTGATCGCAAAATTTCAGGATATGTATTCTCTTGCATTTCATTTTTGTAGGCTTTCTCTGTATACAGCCTGAAACATTTTCCAGGCCTCGTTCTACCGGCACGTCCGGCTCTCTGTTGCGCCGAAGCTTTACTGATCGGAGATACGAGTAAAGATTCGACTCTGATTCTTGGATTGTAAACCTTCTGTTTGGCAAAACCAGGATCTATCACGAACACGACACCATCGATGGTCAATGAAGTTTCCGCAATGTTTGTGGAAACGACCACTTTACGCCCGATACCACCGTTAGGTTTCGTAGGTGGTGCTGGCTCAAAAATACGTTGCTGCAAATTCGGTGGTAAGGTGGAATACAGAGGTATACATTTTAGCTCTCCTACTTCTGGACCTAAACTGTCCATTTCACGCTTGATGCGCTTGCAGGCCTCTTCAATTTCTTCTTGACCAGTGAGGAAAAGTAGTAAATCTCCAGGCACCTCTTCACACATATGAATTTGAACAACTGTTCGAATAGCAGCCTCAAGATAATCACGCTCTGGTTCAGGAGTGTAGAAAATTTCTACTGGATGTGTACGACCAGGTACGTTCATCAAAGGTGCATTGTCAAAGTAATGCTGGAACTTTCCTGCATCAAGGGTGGCACTCATAATAACTAGTTTGAGGTCAGATCGCTGTTTGATGACTTCTTTTAAGACACCCATCAGTAAATCAGTGGCAAGGGTACGTTCGTGAGCTTCATCAAGTAAAATAACTTGGTATGACTCAAGCATAGGGTCAGACATACCCTCTCGAAGTAACATACCGTCTGTCATGTATTTAAGAATTGTTTTTTGAGAACTGCAATCCTCGAAACGTATACTGTAACCAACTTCCTGACCTATAGACAAATAAATTATTCATTAGATTTGATTCAAGTACATTATAATTTTAAATTGTCAATTGTAAATATTTATTAAAACATACCAAGCGCAACATCCATTTCTTCTGACACTCTCTGAGCTACGCTCATGGCTGCTACTCTTCTGGGGCACGTACATGCCACAGCTTTTTTGCCAGTACTCTTTGAATACTCTACGCACCACTGTGGTATTTGAGTTGTTTTTCCAGATCCAGTTTCACCGACGAGTACAATGCACTGATGTTGTGCCAAGAGACGCATGAAATCTGCTCTGTACTCAAAAACTGGCAATCCAATTCTCTTTTTGTAAAGCTCATGGTACCGAGGTGTGTAAGGTAATCCTGTGTAGGGATTCAATTGAACATTGCTCTTGGTGGCCACTGGTGCAGCAGCAGCCGCAGCTGCAGTACTGGCTGGTGTCGCCACATTTGAACCATCACTGAAATCACATAATTAAGTATTGATTTTTAGAATTATAATTAATACTGTCTCAGTGGTGAACATAACCAAGCTTAACTATGCAATCGTAGCACGAATTTTATGATATAGAGCCTGAATAGAGCACTGACAATTGAACGATTCGAATTGATGAAACTTGTGACACGAGCAAAAGCAAGGCATTGAGACGTTATTAACTCGGAGCATGTGCGCCCGAGAATGTAGTTTAAACAATCAAAGAAAGAATCAACTTACGCTCTGCGCTTGACGTATGGGTCAACGACTTCAATTCTTCGCTTTGACATGGTCCTTAATTAATGTCAATCGACTCGCTCGAGGGTTTTTCACGCAAAATAAAGAAACGCCGAGATTTACGATCGCATCAACAACCGAAAATCAGCGAAAGCGTGCACGGACTGACTGTAATTTCGGAGCACCACGAACAGCAGTACGGAACATACAGAGCGAGCAGTCGTCGTGCTTCTCTCTTCCGTCCTCGCTCCACTCGATGAAATTTCGCGGAGACTCGCTCGGAAAAAGGTTCTGTTCTGTGCCGCCGCGAGCGACAAGTTGCGTGACAAACATAATGTATAGATTGCAGAGTACCGACTCCTAAATTTATTGTTATGACGCGGAAAACTCGACAAAATGCAGGGTAAAATTTTTAGTGCAATTTTCCACGAAAATTATGCATTTTTTCTATTTTACATGCAAATCAAAATTAATAACATTTTTTTCTGCTTTCAGTAATTAGGAGGCGCTACGGTCAACCACTTGTTTAAAGGGTTTATTCTTTCTATGTTGAATTTTTATAATACTCGATCTAAATTCGGTGTTTTGAAAACCATCAAATGTTTTGACTTTTCTGTTATTGTTGATCCGAATCGAGTGCGTGAATATTTCCAATTGTTGTGATGTCGTCTATTAAGACATTGATCGCTAGTATTGAAAATGAAGAGAAAATAAGGAAACAGACCATTCAAAATGAATTCGATGAGAATAGGAGAAAGTATGCAGATATTTTAAACAAAATCAACTTCTTCAAAGGTGATTATCTACATAAATTGGTTGTTTTTCAAAATAACAATCTTCGTTTTTTATCGACAGATGAAAATAAAAAAAATATGGATAGCATCCTGAAAGGATTGGATAAACTGGTAGCTACCAAACATACAATTGAAAAAGCCCTGGAACAAACAGAGGAAAATTTCACTAGCTTACCAGTACCATTTGAACAACATAGGTAAACAAAAATTGAATGTTGCAGTGCAATGCAAATACTTTCTAAGTTGACATTTGATTATTCATTTCCAGTGAAACCATTGAATTGATTTCTAAAATGGCAGAGTACATCAGCAATGCTGGTAGTACAAGCAATGCAAATGATTTTGTGGCTGATCAAATACTTCATGATACTGTAAGAATCATGTATACCTCATATATATAAAATTTAACTATCTACTAAATCATACTTACAAATAATTGCAGATTGCAGTTACAGAAAGTGTAGAAAATGATCTCAAAGAATGTCATACTGATTTTAATCAGGCACAAGCTCTCTACAATAATACCAAAGTACTCAGAAGTTTGATGGATGAGACAAGTAAATATTAGATTATGCAGTATACCTAGATTCCAGTCATTTATTATACTATGATTGTAATATTTTTTTGCTCTATAGGTGAAGGAGATCCAGAAGAAAATATTAACGATTCAATATTTTCATCAGATCAGTAACCCACTGATATTGAAATGTTAAGTTTTAAATAATATGAATCTCTATACATATTTGATGTAATTTTAATTGTAAATTGTGTTTGTGTAAAATTATTATTGTATTAATATACATTTTTTAAAACAAACCCTTTGAAAATTTAATTTCTTAATTTTTCTTCAAACGACTTGAAATTTACTTCACATAATACCCAGCAGAGGTCGAGAATTGCCATTGTATTTGCGACTTGTTAAGGTTATTGTACTAGGTGCTTTGTTTACTTCTTGCTTTGAAAACATCAGTTTACGATCAGTTGTTGAATAAACTGTCGCCCCAGAATTATTGTCATTGTTTCTACTATCAAAAATTATTTATAAATTATAAATATGGCATCGGCACAAAATAATGACGAAAATGTGGAAATTCGATTGGATACAAATCCAGAACGAGTCACAATGGAATTGACAGATCTGATCAAAACAGAATTGCTCTCGGATGTAATAAGTAACGGTCATACCGAATCGTCCGAAGACAAATTACCTGCTAATTATGGAAACTTGCAAGACGAAGCTTATTTCCAGGAACAAAATGCGAAATTCCAAGCGATGCATGAACAACTAAGAAATCTCAAGGGTAAACTTATGAGAGCTTAAATTTACAATAAAACAGTTCAATTTTTTTCTAACTTTCAATATTAATATTTATAGAAGAAAATAAAAAACAATTAGATCAAATTATTGCCAGCATTGACAAATTGATGTCTGAAAAGCAGGAAGTTGAAGAGTGTCTTAAACTAGCACAAGAACTTGATAATATGCCTGATATTTCTAATCTTGATGATAGTGATGAATATGACATCCCTCCTGAAAAAGCTAAACAAATGTATTTGTAACTTGTAATATAACGCAAAAGTTTCTTACAAAATTAAATCAAATCTATTGGAAATTTTTCAGGACTGTTGCTGAAATTTTAAGCCATATAGGTGGACTTGACACTGATTCTGAAGCTCTTAAAATTAGTGGTGTAAATGAAGAGGTATAGTAAAGAAAATGAATAATGAATATGTTCAAGTTACATTTTGTGGGTGCTGAAATGTAATTAAAAATAATTTTTGTTTTAGGAATCTGAAGCTTCAAATAAATCTGAATCAAATGTAAAAAATTTACCAGATAAATCTGCCCACGATGTTGAAAATAAAAATATTCAAGATCAAAATGAAAGTGAAAAAGTTTTTCATGAATTATCGAACAGTACAAAAACAGAAAAAAAATCAGATCCCATATCAAATATAAAATGTAATACTTTTTTTCTTAAATTTTTTTCCATTCCTTACATAGATTATGTTAGAATAATAAATATATATAATTTTATAGATGAAAAAGAAAAGCAGAACAGGAAAATCTCATCGACAGATAGTGAATAAATTATGCCTCACAAAACACTAGACTTGTTCAGTATTTTTCACAACTGAATGAATATTTTAACTAGAAATTTTCGGAAAAGTTGAGTATTTTATATATTTTTGTTCATAAATCTATGCTAATCTAGCATAGCAGTATTCTTTTGTAATCATAGTAAAGTCAGTAGTAGCCATTGTGTTCATTGCACACTTTTAAGATTTAAGCTCACAAAACTTAGTAATTATTTTCAAATTATTTTATGCTGTTACTGAATTATAATTAAAATGTCTGGAGTTTTATCAGAAATTTATGATTAATTACAAATAATTATTTATTTTTGTACAATAGGTGATTGATATAAATTTTTTTTTGTATTCTTTTGTACACTTTGGTATATTAAATAATTATAAAAATATACCCTCATAGCTTGAAATAATTAAGATAAAAAAATATACGTAAATTTTTATATTTCTTAACACATTACATTTTAACTGAAATCTGGATGTGAAAAAGTTCACAAATTATCTTATTTGTTGGTAATAATAACGTTCTCAAATACATGGAAGGTGACTGATTTTTTCACTCTCCTGAGTCGATTTATCCCATCAACTTTCATAAAATACCATGTTATTTATCCTCTCTTGAGGTAGTTCCCTCAGAACCTGACCTATAAATTCGGGCATCTCCAGAAAAAATTCTAAGACTTTTTTGTTCTTTTTAAATTTTTTGTAGAGTTCATACTTATTGAGATAAAAAATCGCAAAGATTCATTGCATGAAATTGTTTAAATTTGAATCTCTTGTAGTTCGTGAAATATAGATTTTAGAGAAAATTTGCAAGATCATTTTTTTGTTTAAAGTGACCCTAAAAACCTTAAAAAGTGGGTTTGAGGTCAAACAGTTTAAATTTTTATTTTTGGATTGTTTTTACATTAACTTTTCTCAAAAACTGTGTGGTCAATTTTTTTCAGTTTTTGAGCTATGTTTCAGTACACACTGAACAATCATCTCCTAGTTTTTGAAAAGATTTTATCGATGCGTTTTTTTATAATCACACAAAATAGCGTCTATTCGATACGCTAGCATAGGAATCCCATATGAAAGTACCGAACTTTAACCAAACCATTTTCGAAATATAATTAATCAAAGTTCCTGAAATTTCTCACACATATGAAAAGCACTGTCTATAATATGTGGTTAAAATTTCAAGATCCTTTATCGATAGTCATTTTTTTGAGGGAACTACCTTAAAATGTTATTGTCAAAAAATTAGTAACGTGCTGCACAGGACGCTTCAAGAAATTCAATCCAATAAATATAATAGTATCTTTCTATATTAACCCGTCTGATACCAAGAGACCCTATTTTTGACTTATTTTTCCACGCGTTATTTTTTCATGAAAACGTAGTTAAATTAATGTGGAAATACTACATTTTATGGGATTTTTATCGCTCTTTTCAAATCTGGCATCAGATTTACGATATATGCAACCGTTTTAAAAATACATTTGTTTAAACAAAAAAAAACGTGGTTTTTGAACATTTTTTCTCAAAATGATCGTTTTTTTCACCACGATTACGCATTCGGATCGGCTTGAAACTCTGGATCTGGTGGCATACAGGCCTAAACTAAAAGTTAGCGGCGTTGGTTCATCCAGATTCAAGATGGCAGCCACCAAAACAGCTGATTGTAGCCGAAAATGTAAAAGAAAGCTTTGGTATTTTTTTATTCGGTAAGAATGGACTCTACGAAAAAATTTTATAAGACAAAAAGTGTTTAGAATTGATAAAAGAATACGTATAAATTTTTTTAGAATTTTTCGGATGATTTTGAAAATTTTTGGATATGGATATTTTATAAAAATTTTCAAAATCATCCGAAAAATTCTGAAAAAATTTACACGCGTTCTTTGATCAATTCTAAGCACTTTTTGTTCTATAACATTTTTTCGTACAGTCTATTTTTATCCAGTAAAAAAATATGCACTACAGGACGCTACTGTACAAGTTATAATGCTTTGGCGTTTTTTTACTCAGTAAGAATGGACTGTACGAAAAAATGTTATAGAACAAAAAGTGCTTAGAATTGATCAAAGAACGCGTGTAAATTTTTTCAGAATTTTTCGGATGATTTTGAAAATTTTTATAAAATATCCATATCCAAAAATTTTCAAAATCATCCGAAAAATTCTGAAAAAATTTATACGTATTCTTTTATCAATTCTAAGCACTTTTTGTCTTATAAAATTTTTTCGTAGGGTCCATTCTTACCGAATAAAAAAATACCAAAGCTTTCTTTTACATTTTCGGCTACAATCAGCTGTTTTGGTGGCTGCCATCTTGAATTTGGATGAACCAACGCCGCTAACTTTTAGTTCAGGCCTATATGCCACCAGATCCAGAGTTTCAAGCCGATCCGAATGCGTAATCGTGGTGAAAAAAACGATCATTTGGAGAAAAAATGTTCAAAAACCACGTTTTTTTTTGTTTAAACAAATGTATTTTTAAAACGGTTGCATATATCGTAAATCTGATGCCAGATTTGAAAAGAGCGATAAAAATCCCATAAAATATAGTATTTCCACATTAATTTAACTACGTTTTCATGAAAAAATAACGCGTGGAAAAATAAGTCAAAAATAGGGTCTCTTGGTATCAGACGGGTTAAATCTTTCAGAACGATTGAAGAAGATAATTTACAATAACCATATAGGATTAAAGATTGTTTGTAGATGTATTTTTTTCAGAAAAACGCACTTAAAAAAATGAATCTTGAAAAATTATAAAAAATTAATCATTTATAAACGGTATAAACAGTATCTTTATTTGAATATTATCATAAAATATTATTTCTTTATTAGTAATTTGTTGATGAAGGTTGACAATAATCAGTAAGGTTTATTTTTGAGATACTCATATTCTTCTGAGGCTGGAGGAATCCACTGCGTCATGTATATACTTTTAAATATTGCATTTCCTTGTAATAAATTTGGAATGAAAATTTTGTATACTTTAGTTGAATAAAAATTGCTTCGCCCTACATTAAAAATAAATTTTTAAACTTGTAATTTTTATTTAGTGGAACTGAACAATATTTTAAATTGAAAATGTATCAATAAAATTTTACTTGAACAAATTTCTCACTTGTATAAAGCGCAATTTCGTAAATATATATTTACCTTTTAAAGCAATTAGTATTGTATTAAATATCAAATATTAAATTATTCAGTTATTGAATACAATTTAAATAAAAAAACAATTTTTATGCTTAAAGCCAATTTTATTTTGTCAAGTTATATTCCAACTTATACCATCGATTACAGTAAATTTTTATTATATCACCTTGTACTCTTTCCAAAACTGTATGTCTTTGAACACAATTACCATTTATAATGATTTTAGCGCTTTATACCGTTCTTATAGTCATGAAGACTATTTTGTTAGATATTCTGGTTTTTTTGTATGTGGGTTGATTTGACTATAGATTTTTTTTTATAATTTTGTTTATATCATTTGAAAAAAACATGTCACAATTATTTTACAACAAAGAATTGAAAACAGCAAGATTGAACAGTTAACGGAAACAGATATTTTAGAACTTGAAAAACAAACTAGAAAAATGTATCCCTCGTTCGGGCCATTTTTAAAGGCATCACATCTATGGCCTTCTGGACTGGTATGAAAAAGGACTGATCAT